TCCAGCTTCTTGCCAATGTACTTTTTGCATAAGTACTTGACTCTCTGCCACCACCCAGGAGTCCCAGACAGAGTTCTAGGCTAAGGCCGTAGGCCTGACTTCGCCCTACCTGCTACCAGCATTGAGGAGTGAACTAGCTGATAGAAAAGAGAAAGAAATATTCTCCTCTCTTTCTCATCTCCTCCCACTTCTCTCTCTCTTAATTATAGGCAAGCTAAAAGCTTTATGTCAAGACAAAGACCCGTTTCATTTAAATCAATGCTTATGAAAATCTGGAATCTAGAAGTTGAAGAAAAGTTTCATTCTTGTGGTTTCTCACATCAAGCGCCCAAGGGCTAAAGGTGAGTGGCTAGCTAACCATCCATCATTCATAACATTCCTGGGAGACAGCCTCACTGTCTCAGAGGAACCGGGGCAAAAAGTCACATAATCCTTCGAGAATTGCCCTCACAGATTGATGTACTGTCTGCATCCAGATTTCCCCAAGACCAGAGTGCTACTCTTGAACTTGGAATCTTGATAAAGGTGCATCTTAGACTTGCCCATTCTCAAAGGGACTGCTTTTTTGTTTTGGAAGTGGGAACCATGGAAAGCTCCTATTATAGTGCCTATGAGAAAGAGAAAAGCTGCACTTAGCAGAAAGGATCATCGCTGGCATTTTCACTTGGTTGTTATGGCGAGAAAATTCACAGGCAGTGGCTGTCAGATCTCAACAAACAGGAGTTAACATGCTTCAGCAGTTGACAGATGCACTCAGCTTTACCTTCATGGAAAAGAACAGAGCAGAAAAAGGGGCGCAAGGAGTGCAGGAATGACCAGACTTCACGCTTCTTGACACGGCTATCTGATGTGGGGCAAACACACATGTTAATCGCTGAAGAAACACAGACTACTACAAATGGGGTGCTGACACCAGTCCCGACACAGCACAAACTCCCTTCCTTCCACTGCACTTCCACCTTTGCCAAGTCTTATCAGGCAAGTGCTATAAGCAACATCATTTATGTAAATAGAACCCATTATGCAAATACTTCCAACTCACTTGCCACTTGGAGATTTTGTTCTTTTATGTTTAAGAAACACAGCCTTTATCCCCCAGAATAGACACATTGGTTATGTTTATGTTCTTCAAGCCTTCTGCTACCATTCTGGGCTTTGAGAAAAAAAAAAGCCATTTTTTATTCTAAAAAATGTTTTGTGCTACCTCTCATCCCTTTTTGTAAAAATGGCTTTTTTTTTTTTTAATTTGGTGGCGTGCACAGTGGCTTAATGGCTGTAGCCTAGTGTTAAGGGGAGGACAGAGAGATGAATGCATGGATTATATCCTCCACTCCGCAGGGAGTCTGCCATCTCTCTGGGTTAGTGCGAAACAAAAGAACTCAATTAATTCAGAGATTTCTGCATGCTTACTCCGTGATGTGTCTGAGTCAGATTTCAGACATGAAGCTGATGAAATCCTTGTTTAGTGTCATAAATAAGGAGAGACAAAATGCATGCACTCATTCTTTGTCTTCATGCTCTCCCCACACTTTAAAACTGCAAGGCAAATTACAATGAAATACAGGAAAACATGCTCCAGTCTACGCATGAACCCATTAAAATGTTCTTTGTGTGAACATAAACTGCATTTCCTAATTTCATATTTATATATATGCACATGCATGCATAAAGCATGAGAAAAAAAGGGAAAAAGCCATAATGTCACAAAAAGGAAAGACTACACAGGATGTGTGTGCTTTAATAGATGAATATCTCAACAAATGAATTATGAATTTAAAACTCTCTTCCCACCCTGAAGAAACACATTTTTCAAGTTGATGAGTCATTGTAACAGAACTGGGAGCTTGAAGCCATTTAAAAACAGGGCTGTTTCCATAAACAAAAACAACAACAAAGCAGCCAAAACCTCCAAAGTGACTAATGCTTTTATTTCCATTTGATGGCCAACTCAACCCAACCAGCCATGACTTCCCTAGGCTTACTGTTAGACAGTCCACGATAAAGCCTTCATTTCATCTGGACTAATCATTTGAGCGAGACGTCTTGCTTGTGGAACTTGTTCTGTGTTTTGTTGCTTGCTTATGACTAATATCTGATGGCTTATTCCACAATTCATAGGTGTGAAAATTAAGCTTATAGGCTTCCTGGTATTTGTCTTCAAATGGGTAACAAATACTGACAGAGCACAGCTTAAGCAGCAGGCATTGCTTCAGGCTACTGGATCGCAGTAAAAATCAAGCAAGTCAAGGCCAGTGCTCTCCCACAGCAAGTCTAGTGGGAAGAGATGAATCGAACACATCAACAAATACAGGGATGAGACCATGGCAGACAGGGACCACACTCAGGAAAAGGAAGTGGACAATGAGATACAGCAGTCAGGATGGCCGGCTGGGTACAGAAGACCTCCATGTGCAGGAACACTGCTCTGAAACACAAGTTCTAAAAGGAGCAGACATGGGGAGAGCTTGCAGGGGTGGGGAAAGGCTAGTCCTTGGGCCGTATCAACCCACAGATGCCCAAAAACCCAAGTGTCCTTGACAAGGCCCCTGCATGTGGGACTCAAAACTCAATAAATCTACAGCTGGCTAATTTTTAAGTTTATCATTCTGTGTGATCCATAAATGATGTTATAAATACCCAAATGTACCTTGGCAGAACAGAAAAAAGTTCCCCACCCCTGCAGGGAAGGGTAAACCAATGCAGGCAGACAGCAGGAACAAGGGTCCTGGGGGAGAAATAAATGTGTTCTATTTCAGACTCAAGGCAAAAACAAACAAAGCACAGCACTGTGGCTGGAACTGTAGGATGGGGGAGGAAAAGAAGCAAAACAATACGTGAGGAAATCTAGGGACAAATCTCTGCATTCTCGGGAAGGACGGGGGCTTTTATCATCATTGAATTGGGAAGTCATTGGAGGAGCGAGGTGATGTGAGATGGCCTTGGAGCCCATTGCTCTGGGAAGAATAGAGCAGAACAGCTGAGAAAGCAAGAGCAACCTGCAGGCTTCTGTACCAGATGTTCTGAGCTGCTATGGAGACTGTGGGCCGGGTGAGCAGCCCTCAGGGACCGCATGGGCTTTTCAGAAAGAACTTACAGGGTCTCCTGACTGACAACCTGACTGCAAGTTGTAAGGGAAGAGACAGAAAAGCATCTCCCCTTGAGACATGTAGATATAGATTTTTTTTTCATCTCATGCAGCCTTGTCCCTTAAAAACACAGGAACAGATTTGAAGGAAGCAAAATGGTTCCTGTCACTTACTTCTCTTCCCAAAAATCTACCTTCTGCAAAATATTTACTGACCCAGTTATGAGATCTAGGGAACAGAGACATCCCCACTCGTGATCTCCAAAGAACCATGAGTAGGCAGTGAAAAGCACAGAGCCAACATGCAGAAGAAAATCCCCAGAGTAACAGCACTGTGACCCAACAGAAAGCTATTTGCGTGCCTTGACTTTGCATTTGAATAGTTATGTCAACCCACAAAATCATTAGAGGTGAAACAGCCTGATAAATTCATGTTAATAGAGTCTTTAACACATGTGTTGAAGCATCACACAGCAAACCTTATTTATGCATAAGATCTTTTAAATTATTTTTAAAACATGCCTTCTAAGTAGGGAAACCTTGTTTTAAACATCTTATTTCAGAACACTTTTAAAATGATGTAAAAAATAGGTGGGGGTACTACAAAGAATTGGCATTTACCCTTTGCCCAATGTCCCATTCAATGTCTCATCTTGGTATCCCACTCATAACTAATAAACCACACAGTTTCACTCATATTTTTAATGAAAAAAAATTTAACTCTCCATCATCTCACAGCTTCTAGCAAGCAACATCCCACAATAAAGTTGAGTTCTTTTGGGTTTGTTTTCTTTCATTTCAGTTCCCACACAGGAGGGGAGAACATGAAGGATTTCTCTTCCGTTCTCACTTTCTTAACACAATTACAGGATTTCATTCTTTTTTTTCTTTAACAGCTAACCAATATGCTAATGTGTATCTATACACAATTTCTTTATCCTCTCATCAGATGGCAGATGCCTTGTTGACACCACGCTTTTGGCTAGTGTGAGCAGCGCTACCATCAAAGTAGTGAAACAGGTATCTCTTTGATGTGATGAGTTGAAGTCTTTGGGTATAGACTCAGTAATGGGATTGCTGGATCGTACGGTAGCTCCATTTGCAGTTTTTAAAGAAATCTCTACATTGTTTCCCACAGTGAGGAAATGACAACAACCTTGATTTGGGACCAAGAATTGTGTAATCACTGGTGAACAGCTGCGAAAATCCGTCAATTAGAAGCCCACTGCTTCCAGACCCGAAACATACACTCCAGAAAAGCTGGGCCACACGCCAAGCCTTCTCAGCAATCAACTTGCGAAACAGATCCTTCACTGCGCACATCTTGTGTAATGAGAGCGAGAGGATAGAACCCAAGGAGCAAGACTGCCCAGGCTCTGCTGGGAATATCCAAAGTCAGCAGCAGCAGGGTCAGACTCAGACCCGGCCTCCTCACCCTGAACCACCCACTTCCATCGATGCTCACCGAGTCAGCCTCCTGAGCAAGACTGGCGGCAGACATGGGCTCACACGAGGCCTGCAGAGACGATGCTTCTGCAACCTTTCTCTCCTGTTTAAGGACTTGCTGGTAGCATCTTGTTTCTTGCTGGAACTCTTCTAATTTTACACTTATAAGCGATTGTCCCCACACTGCTCTCCTATTTCCATGACATGCCTATTTGTGGAGCACTCATCATGCTAATTTGGCTTCTTGACACTCCTTATTTTTCTTTTATGAAAAGATTGCATTTCCCTTTCTTTGGCTAATTTCCAACTAGAACATTGTTCTTTATGTCAGATGATTAAAGCCCTTGCTGCAACTTCTGCATTGTGGAAGAAATATTCACATGGAAAAACACATGCTGACCATCAAACTGACTTCCGCGACTGGGAGTTGATTCAGACTGCACTCCTTATTTTTTTTTTTAAGTTTAAGAAAAATATGGAACACTTCACGAATTTGCATGTCATCCTTGCCCAGGGGCCATGAGAATTTTCTCTGTATCATTCCAAATTTTAGTATCTGTGCTGCCGAAGCAAGCACTGCACTTCTTATTTTTAAAGCAAACAACCACTGATTGTTTTATTTCTGGGAATTTTTCCCCCTGAATTTTAAATATGTAAGTAGTCTAACCATGTGGTAGTAATTTGGAGGGGAGGGGGAAGAGAGGCTGAAAACTCCCTCTTGTCTCATGAGTGAACTATAAATAATGTTTGCTGGTCTTGAGAGTTTGTTTTTGCCCCTTTACCTCTGTTTTAGCTCTGAATCTTGTTACCCTGAAAATAATACAGCTAGAAGGGCACTCGACCATCTTGTCTTACTGGTGAGAATTTTCAAGTCAGTTTATGCGTAAAGCCTCAGACAATATCTCTTGGCATGGTGGTAAATTATTTAACCATTATTAAATGCCAGAATGCGGTGGCGATGACACCCAGAACATTAAGGTGGATGGAATCATCCTTAGCCAGTCAGCGTCTCGCTTAAATTAAAATAACAAATCAAAGAGTAAAAATTATGTGCAAAGCAAACCCCACATACACTGGATGGAAGGAAAGGGGGGTCACAGGCAGCCGTTGCCAGATATTCCAAGCCACACAGAAAGATTTTCCAGGGTGGAAATGACTTGAAATAAACGCCAAAGCAGGAGGGAGGAAGATAGCTTGACAAATTCACCCGAGAGACACGCACAGATATATTATTCATGCAGAATGTAAATACTTCACTTTTTCAATGCTTGCACAGTTGTCTGCTTGTCTTTTCCTATAGAACTGTAGGTGTCACATGTCATGTATCTTAGATGCTTAGCTCTTCAAGCAGCCATCCTCAACCTTTGGGGACTTCAAAATCCCTCTGGTTGGTAAGATGACAAGTACCCCGCCCCGAATGCTTTCCCCACCAAAAAGAGTAGGGAGGAGACAGGAAACAGCACGAACTTGTAAACAGAAATGCTCCAGGTTGAGAGGATTTTATAATTCCAGGTAGGATAACCAACAACCCCTTCCTACCTTCTTCCCACCATAGGGAATACTCTGTGGTTACAAGCTGTCAACCCGGGGGAAGCAGAAACTGACAAAAACAAAATTCTGAGTGTTTGATGTGAAAGGAGTTTACTCGTATCATAGTAGTTGCAAGGGAAACAAATAATAAACGAGGAAAAAAAAACGTCATTTTCATGACCTAGAAAAACATCGTTGGTTTTTATTATTTTGTTTTTACTTCTTTTGGGCTTCATTTTTATTCTTGATGTTATATTACTGGTTATAAGGAACATGCTATTTTAACTTGCTTGTTTAAGAAAATTTAAAATGCCTAGGTAATAATAAATGTTAATTCCCAGCAAATTCTCTTCCTCGTGACCAAACCTTCCACACACACACTGCTGATCTCAGAAGTCAGAGCAGCTGGGCTGTGTGGTTTTCCCACTTTCTCTATGGATTGCATAAAGCCATGTGTTCAAACTACTCATAGACAGCCTGCTTTGTTTTAGTAAACTTAGGTCATATTTTATGTTATGTAGCAACCAGCTGTTTTCAAAACGAACAATGCATTTGGTCATTTTCTCAAGCTAGAACATCATTTTTAATTGCCTGCATAACATTCAACCTCGTTAAAGATTAAAAATGAACTTAACCACACCCCTATTTTACAATCTTTAGGATTTGTCACTGTTTGCTCTGAAATCAGTACTGCTTCAAGCAGTGTACACGTTAAACATACTTTGTGCATGTACTTTACCTAACAAAGCTATAGGACATTGCTGGAAAAGAATGGATCTAAAGTTACAATAAATATTGCCATATTGCCACATATATAAAATACAAGTATATATCCTTCCTCCTTCAGAATTGTGTAATGTTGGACATATAAATAATAGTAATTTAAAAAATTAACCATTTCCCTCTTGGCAGTTAAATGACTTCTAGTTTTTCATCAAATTGAAAACAAAAATACTATACTAAAAATATCTGGGCATATATATTTTCCATGTTTTAGATGATTTTTTAGAATGGTTTACCATTCATGCATATAATAATTTTATTCCAGTTTTCCAATAATTTTATCATTTGTATTTTCCTTTTCATTGGATGGGTGAACTTAGGAAGGTCAAGTAGTCTTTATATTTGTGTGTTTTATAGAATTTTTCTACATTGTGTCTATGAAATCTTTTGCCAACTTATTAGCAAGTATGAACTCTTCGATGAAACTATTAAATTCACACAATCAATACAGAAAACAGTACAGATATTTCTCATGAAACTATGGATAGAATTGCCATACAATTTGCAATCCCATTCAACGGAATCAGTGTCTCAAAGAGATGTCTGCATATGTGTGTTCACCGCAGCCTATCCACAAGAGCCAAGACCTAGAAATAAGCCTCATGCATCAGATAGATTCAGACACTTACGCTGCTATATACAATGGGATGTTATTCAGCAGGAAAAAAGCCAAAAAGAAAAGAAGAGGAGGAGGAGGAGGAAGAAAATCCTGCCAGTAGGACAAATACATAGGATATTATGCTAAGTAAAATAGGGTAGACAAGAAAGACAACAGCGACATGATCTCACTAATGTGCAGATCGCGAAGAAGTCAGAGTCGTAGGAGCAGAGAACAACGGCTGCCAGGACCAGGAGGCATTGTTGATCAAAGATACAGACTTTCAGTTCACTGATTCTGAGCACCTAAGGTCCAGCATAAGGTAGTGATTGATAAGTCCATTTGATTGTTCTTGCCCACAGTGTATACACATCAAATCATCACATCATGCCCCAGAGATATACACAGCCTAACACTTACAAATTAAGCGGGGGGAGCCTTTTCTTGTTTTGTGTCTTAAGAGGAGTTTGTCTAGATTGCCTTAGATCATAAACAGTTACAAAACAGAAATTGCCTGTCCCCTTGGAACCTGAATTCTTTGAGATCAGAGGGCTGGAGGGATGAGTTTATTAGCGTTGCATGTGTCAGGTGCAGTTTACAATAACTAAGTTCTCTGAAGGAAAAAACTATAGTGTAGGGTGTAGAGAATGTTGAAGAAGTCCTCTCTGGAGAAAGAGCATTTGGAATGACCCAGAACTTGAAGAGAGAGTAGCTGAGATGAAGGAGTGACACAGATGGAGGACACTTTCTAGAAGCCATTTCTCACATGAGCACCCCATGCTTTTCAAAGTTCCAAAGAAGCCAGTGGTTCTAGAAGGACAGTGGGAATGCTGAAACAACTCCACAATTTCACAGTAATCAGCTGGAAATCAAAGAGCTTAATGCATTATCTGTTGCTCTAAGGCAATCAATACCAAGTAATTGTCCTCAAGCTATGGATACTACCCCAGTCCAAGAGTCATGGGAGCCCCCACGGCTTGCCAGTTAAAAAAAAAAAATAGGCTTTACCAATGACTAGCTGGCTTTGCCAAAGAGGAGTATGCCTCACTGCCCCTAAGACGCTGGCTAGCAACATAGGCATGAGCCAAGCAGGGTCTCAGGAGCACTTTCTGACAAAGTCTCAGAGAGCTCAAACTCTCAAACTCTCGCATTTCTCTGGTCCTGCCACCTCTGTCACCATGACAACACATATCCTAAAGAAAGTGATCATGTTTGCCTTTCCACACAACGCAGCACCTGTGAAGGCTGCTTACATTCATGAGTTTTGGGCATGGGATGACACTGCAAAAGTCTCAGATGCAGGTGCACCTTACAAACACATGTCCAAGCGCTCTCCCAGTGCCCAGCATCCAGCAACAAAAGCATGTGTGAGCCACCTCAATAGTGCATGTTTATTGACAAGTGTCTTGCTTCGTGTATGGAATAGCATTGAGATTGTCCAAACTTAGCCAGGGAAGAAAACTACCAAATTCAACAAATAAAACTGGAGGAAAATAATATAATTGTGCCAGAGCCCTAAATGAAAGACTTCCAAAAAGAGTTTCTGATGTGTGTGTGTCACACCTGTGTTGCATCTGTCAGTGTGAAAATCAAGGCCATTTTCTTGTGCTCTTTCATCTGTTGTAATGAATGCTCTGTTTTTCACTGGAAAGCAGAAGACATCCCCACTCAGGGACACAGTGCTCCATCAGCCAACATGCTCACATTGGAATGGCATCCCTGGTCCCCAGCGGGCTATCTGATGGCAGAGGCTCCAGGCCTGATCCGTAGCCTACACATTTTTTTGACAGACGGATGTCTTTGACACTTGAATCAGTCAACAGCAGTACCCATGCCTGTGACTGCCTCCTCCTCTTTCCTGCCAAGCTATAAGAGGCTTCCTCTGCTTTAAAATGATATATACCCAAGCATTGATGCCTATTTTTTAATTCTCCCATGCTTGCTGTAAGATGAGCCCCAAATAAAGACTTTTCAGGAGTCAATTCTGAATGCATCATGCAGAATATATCCGTTCAAGCCAGGAAACCAGCTGAGCAAGAGGCAGCAGTATTTCACACTAATATGTTGTTTCCAGGGCTCCCTAATGAAGCCAGTGCTGTCCCTACCAGGAAAGCAGCACAGGGGAGCCTGGGTCAAGAAACTCACCCAGAAAGGGAGTCTATCAGAATTCCGTGGGGGAGCATGGTGGGAGATTTTTCAAACTGCCCATCTGTTCTACCAGATGACCCAGATGTGCTTCTCTCACCTGTGAGGGAACTCCAAAGGATGCAGAGGGTGTAACTCATTAGCAACAGCCCACATGATCTCAGTAACTATTGATGCTGTCCACTACCTATATGATGTCTGTCCATCTCAGTTCCTCGTCAGGGGGTGCCCTGGGGCCAGGCATTGGCCTCACAGGTGAAGCTGCTGCCTAGGACACTCTCTTCCCACATTAAAGTGCCTGGGTTTGAGTGACAGCTTTGCCTCTGGCCTTGATAGCCTCAATAGTTGAGTCCTTCCATCCCCATGGGAGTCTAAGATGAAGTTTCCAGCTTCTGGTTTCAGTCCCATCTACTTTCTCAATGGTCAAAGGCATTTGGGGAGTAAATTAGAAGATTGGAAATGTCTGTATATCTGTCTATTTCTCTAGTAAATAAAATGTAATCAAATTAATAAATATATAT